CAAACAAAAAAAAACCCCACTCACCAACTCTGGATTTGGCCTAGTTGCTTTCCTTATTTTGGTAAATGTTCCTTTTGTCCCCTGGGAAACCACAGTTGTGCCAGGGAAGACAAAACTGGAACACAACCCCTTTTCAGCATGGAAAGGCTCTGATGAAGGCTCTTTCTGCTGTATATGGGCTTGGAAGAGTTGCTGCTCCAGGCATGTCCTGCTGTTCCCTTCTCACAGCTTGGCTCCTCCTGCATCCCTGCTGGTACGACAACAGGGTGAAGGCAGGTTTCAAGACTCATTCACACACACTCTCATTTCTAAGAGCCATCACAACAAGCATTTGTGAAAGTAGCACAAATAAACAAAAGTGAGCTGTGGCTGGGATTTTCCCATTTGTGGTTTGATAAGGAGAGAAGAAAACACAGGCTTTTCCGCCACAGCAGATTTGTTCTTTTGGTTTTTTTTTCACTATCACATTACTTCCTCCCCAAAGCTGATGCTGCTCTTTCATTGCTATGGTCAGGAGTCCTTCACTAAGGCACAATGTAAGAGGAAATAGGAGAAAAGAGGAGAAAAAAACCTAGCTTGACTAGCCATGGAAAGAGGAAAATCACCATTTGGTCTGTGTTGGCAGCAAGCACTATATAAACCCTCTCTCCAAAAATTGGCTGGACAAATTGCTTTGAAGTGGACTACAAAAATCAGCCATGCCCTGGGAGAGGGGCTGCCTGGGCCCAGGTGGAAGCAGAGACATCAATCTGTTGTCCTGGCTTCTACCAGGAGAATGCTTCACACCTCTCCAGTCTGGAGAGACCTGGATCTACCCAGGGTTAGCTGCTCTGCAAGACCTTCAGTTTGGTTCAGATATTATACCACAATGCATCAGAGCTTGTTGTACCACAGTGGTTACCTTAGGGTGAGAAGAATAGGTGGCAGATGGCTTGGGCACACCTGGAGCTGTTTGCAGGTGGTTTGTTTCTCTTAGGCCATCCCTAAGAGAAACAAACATCACCCTCCTTCAAAATATGGGGACACTTACCCAAAGGTTAGGGAGTGAGACAGGGGATGGACTTACAAGGGTTTTGTAGGACTGGCCTGTGTACAAGCTCTTCCCCTCCTGTCTATCAGGTTTCTTCCCTCAGCTCTGCTGAAGTGCTTTGCATTCCCTAGGGGGAAAGCAGGAGCAGGAGCAGGGACAGGCCACAGCAAAGGCTCTGAGTCTGCAAAGCAGACTTGGGTTGTAGAGGGTGAATTGATCTCTTCAGGGAGAGGAGAATGTAATTTAAGGGACTTTAATTTGTAAACATTAAATTTGACAGGCCTTTCTGTTAACATTCCATGTGGAGATCAGCTTTGGGAACTACATTTATGTTATCCTTCACACACTGGTGGAGGAAGCTGTGAAGCTGCTCTGGCTGGTAGGTGTGAGGGCAACTCCCTCTGTGCAGGTCTTCCTGTCTTCCTCCACCTGGCACAGCAGCTCCTCTGACCTCAGAACCCTGAATGAAGCTCTGTGGTGCTTGACAGGAGCTCTCACATGCTCATTGACTATACCTTTCCACAAATACAGACAAGCTTTGTACTCTGCAGCCATACAGTTACTCCAATAAGCCATAGCTTTATTAGGGTGCCTGCTATTAAATGTGGCATATTGTTTGAAATGAAATAAGCTCTTTGAAATAAATTTTGGCAAAAATTAATTGTGATCCACACCATACAAGAGCTATAAAAAAATGAATGATATCACAAAAAAAAAAAAAAAGAAAAAAAAAAAAAAAAAAAAAAAAAAAAAAGAAAGAAACAAACCCAAATTGTTTTCCATATGGGCAGGCAGGCCTATGCACACACCTTCCACATACAATGGCCATTATATTCTCACAGCTGTTAATAGATGGGAACTAATTAGATAGAGATGCAGCCGTGTGTGCTACCACAATATATCACATGTCAATATGACACCCATTACTGTATCTTTTCCTCCTGGGAAACTCAAAGCATTATACCCGGGGTACAGCTGTGCCCTGGTTGTAATCTAAGCTTCTGGCTCAGCTAATCACCATCCATTAAGCCCCTGTTTTCTTCACAAGTCACACATTTTCCAGATCAAGCCCCATGTCTTAATCATGCAACAGACTCAGCTCAGAAATACATCTGCATGTAGTGCTGGAAGTCAGGGCAAGGCAGAACTGAATTGCATAGGTCCCCTAAGCCTGTGAGATACTCAGCAGGCAGATATGTTTAGAAACATATTTAACAGACATACTGAAAAATAGATGCCCTTTGTCCCAGAAATCCTGCTGGGACTATCAGCAGGGGTGCTGCAGCTGCCAGGGAGCCTCTTCAGAAATTTGCTGGAGAACGAGATGCAGGATGACAATATTTCTGCAAGAACATACGTGGACCCAAGGAATTTAGTAAAGAAATGACAGATACTATGTGAATGGTAATTAACAGAAAATCAGCTACAGCAGTGAGTAAAAGAAAAGAACTGGAGTGAGAGTAATTGATGGAGATTCCTATAAATTCTGGCCCTAAACAAGTCTACAGACCAGTGTTTCTAGAGGACCACGGAAATTATGGGCCTTGGGAGAACCTGAAAATCATCTACAGCATCTTCCCCTGCAAAAGCAGGGCAGCTCTCCTTCTGCCCTTCTGGACATATCTCTGTCTAACCAAAAGTATATTTTCTACCTTGTATTTCAAAGAATCATAAAATGGTTTAGGTTGGAAGGGACCTTAAAGATCATCTAGCTCCAACCCCCCTGCATGGGCAGGGACACCTCCCACCAGACCAGGTTGCTCCAAGCCCCACCCAGCCTGGCCTTAAACACTTCCAGGGAGGGGACATCCACAACTTACCTGGGCAGCCTGTTTCAGTGTTTCACCACCCTCACACTAAAGACTTTCTTCCTAATGTGTAACCTAAATTTCCCCTCTTCCAGTTTTAATCCATTGCCCCTTGTCCTATTGCTACAAGCTCTTGTAAAGAGCCCCTCCCCAGCTTTCCTATAGCCACTTCAGGTACTGGAAAGCTGCTATAAGGTCTCCCTGGAGCCTTTTCTTCTCCAGGATGAACAGCCCCAACTCAGCCTGTCTTCATAGCAGAGGTGCTCCAGCCCTCTAATCATCTTTGTTGCCCTCCTCTTTACTTGTTGCAACGGCTCCATATCCTTCCTCTGTTGGGAAGACTCTTCCTGCCAGACTTGGGCTGAGACCACCTGTCTCATTTCCATGACAGCCCGGGGTCAGTACTAATCAGGCCAGATCTGATGTGGTTAAGCAAACAGGTTTTAGGGTGAATTCAACAGTGGGTGTAGCTGTAATGTGCATCTGCAAAGAGCTGTGCTACGACACAGCCTTGTCCCCTGCAAATGTGAAACAGTATCTGCTGGGGAAAGTGGCAGAGAGACCACAGCTTCACAACCATGCTTTCCACCAAAATCCATCACTGAAATATCCCAGCCCTTTGACTCTCAGCTTTAGGCCCTCTTTTTCACTAGATCATAAGACTAGTATCCAGGATACCAGCTTGTAATTTGCCTCTGTCAATGAATCAGTAGAATCAATATGCATTTAACATCAAATATGGATGACTTATCATAATGTCCTGGTAGAACAAGTACTGTTGTCCCTATGTCTCTGCTGTGCCCAGGTTGGATGGGAATCAGCACAGACCCTGAAATGGTACAGGGAGAGCAGAAGTAGATTTTTCCTGATTTTTTTTATCTCTTAATTTGAATTAAGAATTGAATTTGAATTACTACTTGGAGACATAATTCTTACCAGGACACGTTTTAAGCAGGCTTTATATTACACATTGTCACACATTACAAAATTATTACATAACTCCACTTCTTCTGTAGAAGTCAAATGCTTAGATTCTCACGAAGTAGTTGGCACCAGCGAAGTGTGTGTCTACATCTGCTTGAAGACAGTAAACTGTTGCCATTAGTTTTTAAAAAAAATATACAAAAACATTTCCCTGAATCTTGGCTATTCCACTCCATCATCTTTTAACTATCCTAAGTGTAACTTGATCTGGTGGTGCATCTTTAAGCTGCAAAGTCTAAGGTCTCTGAGCACTCAAAGGGCAGTCTGCACACACTGCCCTTTAAGGGTAAGGAGAAGCTGCCTACACTGCAGCCCCCTCTGCACATCACTCCTGACGCTGGTGATGCTCGATGGAACCTTTACCTGGCAAGTGTCTCATCTTTTCCGTACATAACAGCTACAAGGGCTTTTCGGTAAGGAAAAAAAAAAAAAATGTAGCTCCTCTAAAAGGAAAGAGGAAGCCAGAATTTTCATAGTGTCTTAGTCCTGCCCCATGATGCTTCTTCCTGTCTCTGAATTTCCACCTGCCCCTGCTGCATATATAAGGCAGCACACGTGGGGTAGAACTGTTTAGTCGCCTGCCGCCGTCCAGAGGATTAGTAGCAGTGGGAGGTGATGCTGTTTCTCTTTGCCTCTGCAGTTCACGGGAGGTGAAAGAGCTCTGGCTGGACTCACTCCTTGGGTAAGTACTGCTCGGGATTAAATCTGTTATGTTGCTGTTGAAGCCCGTGGGGAGCTCCAGGTGCAGAGATGTACAGGAATTTAGTTGGGGGAGAGGTGCTCCCACTGCAAAGTGTAGCTGGTGGGCAGAGCTGGCTGTCTCACTTAGCCTTGTGTTTGCAAGTTAACAACAACCCCATGCAGCTGTCACCACTTGCTCATTTTTTGCATAGATTAAAAATGGAAAGCTGCTTTTCTTTTTTGTTTGTTTGTTTTGTTTTAATCAAGAGACAGAGCAGCAAGGCTGAGTGCCTTCTAGAGAAGGGCTTTATGATCGACTTGTGTGGGATATCTTGTTGGTTCTGGATCATACTCGAATGCTAAACTGGCTTGCAGGGGAGAAAGACAAGAAGGCTGCAATTTTACAAAGCTCTTTCTTGTCTGTTCCCTCAATAAACAGGCAAGAAAAAGGATCAAAGGAAACCAGATTGTCCAGAGCTCCCCCGATCAAACTTCTAATGAAAGTGTTAAGCAGCTGTAATACTGTGAGTGTTTTTATTGCTTCAGCTCTGTCAAGAGAGTGACTTTGAAAAGCTCTGATTTCTAAACCGTAGCATTCAGTTACTCACATAGTGTCTTTGTTTTCTTGCCTAGTCAAAGACACTAAATGCTGGGAACATGGAGAGCCTGATTGAGTGCCAGTCAGAGGTAAGCACCCACTACATTTCCCTCATTCCTTCTTGGGTACTTATATGGGATATCTTAGCAAAGTGGGGGTAGTCCCTGGAGGAGCTGCCCAGTGCCTGCCCAGGGCAGAACCCTGTGAAGGAAACTCTATGCAGGGCTGTGGAAAAGGAGCTGGGCACCTCTATGGGCAGTCAGAATGTTTTCTGGGCTCCTAGGGAGCGTTGCTCAGGAATCTGGCAGGCTGCAAAGCCATCAAGGCTCCCTGGAGGAGTTTGGGAGGACATCTCCTGTGCCAGGGGAAGACACAGAAGAGCAAGCTGTGTCCATCTGGGGCTTCTCTGGATCAAAAGAGCAGCCTGAAGGGGCATGGGGTTGTGACCTGCTGGGCAGGCCTGGGGTGGCTGGCTGCAGGGTTTACCACAAACTGCTCTACTGGGCAGTGAGGCAGCGTCACCGGGGCCCAGGTGCCTCTCCAGGAGGTGTTGGACTTGCTTTGCTCATTCGCCGGAGCCTCCCGTGGGTTTCTCAGCAGCTGCAGTGACTCCAGTGGCTTGTGCTGCTGGTGGCAGCTCCGTAACCCCAACGTGCTTCTTGCAGGCTGATGCCAAGAAATGCCCCCCGCTGGTCCCAGCAGGTACTGAAGATGGCCACTCAGATGGTGAGTTTTAAAAACAAACTGAGGAACTGCCTTCTGATACAATGATTGCAAGCTGGCGCTTCTGCAAAACCACACGAGACTGCCCCTTCACCTCCCGGAGAGGGCACAGCCCTCAGCCCCAGCCAGGACGTGGCTTAAGCCATGAAGTGCCACTCACTTGCCTTTCCCTTAAGCTCAGCAGCAGAGGTGACAGTGCTGAGTGCCAGAGACCTTGTATCCCTGTTCCCTGGTCCTCAGAGCTGCGTTTCGTTGTTTTCCCTGGCAGCAACGGGAAGTAAATGTGCTCCTTTCTCACTCGAGCCTCACCACTGAGGTGTGGCCCTGCAAGCGAGCACCCAGTCATGCCAGCAGTGCTTGCACAGCACCACAATCAAACCCTCTTGGCAGCAGCAGCAGCAGCACTTGCTTTCTCTCACCAAGCAAAACCTCAGTGCCTGTGAGCAACCCAGAAAAGACCTTTAGCAGGACAGGGTCAGACTTGGAGCAGACCACCATATCAGACCACTTTTGAGGAGTATCAGAACCAAGCATTTTCTATGACACTATAATGTTAGGTGACTTTCTCATCATTTTTAACTCCTCCCTACTAAGGACTTGTGCTAAGCCGCAAATACAGGTACTGATTTTTTCATCTGCATAAGACTTCATTTTGGAGTGGAAGGCAAGTCCCTTATAGGAAATCTGCAGAAGGCTACTCCTTTAGAAAGCTTTCTAGCAAAAGGATCCTTCTCTCAATCTTTCTGAAAGGGGAGAAAAAGCCACCCCTCATCCCAATACAACCATCATCTCCCAATTCCTAGCATGCCCTTCTCCTCCAGATGCAGAGCAAACAAAACCCAAGCTAAGAAATTTCTGACCCTGAAGCCAATGAGGCACTACTGTGATACTCCCATCCTCTGGAACAAGTATCACCTTCCATGGGTTGCTGGCAGTGGGCAAGTACTAGTTCTAGCAGGATCACTATAGTTAGAGCTGGCTCTGAAGCTGACAGAGCTGGAGCCATGTGTTTTCATTTCAGCCTGTGAAAGAGGCTGAAAAGCAGGAACCCCTAGATCCACTTGTATCCTAAGGCTGGGGCACAGCCAGACAGCCTAGAGAAAACTCTTCTCATTGCCAGCTGCCCAAGTGACACCTTAGTTATCACAGAAACTGCTGCAATATCAAAAAATCTCTATAAATGCTGTTATTTCTGCGTGTTACACGTTCCCACTCTCTAAGAAGAAACAGCGACTAGAATGTAAGAAACCCACCCCAAAACAGGAAAGGTGGTGTCTTTAGAGGGATGGTCACAGTTTTACTGTTTAGGCAGTTGTTTCCTTAGTAACCATTTAGTTGTCTTTCAGTTTCTCCTTGTTTAGTTTGAGCTGTTTCAAATAGATCTCTGCGCTTCACACAGATGAAAGGCCACATACTGTGCTCTGTTGTTTTTTTTAAAGTCGATTTTTTGCTTTCCTTTTACGTGCAGCAGATGGAAGAAAGAAAAGAAAGAAGGTGATATCACAGTCATTTACTCTGAGACGAAGCTCTACCAACGGGAGTTCTCCAGGGCAGCTAGATGGAGGTGCCAAAATTGGTCTGTTTGGCCAGCCTCTGGCAATCATCTGTGGGGAAGATGACACACTGCCCCAACCAGTCCAGGTAAGCAAGCATAGTGATACATTTATCACACCTCTGGCTTCCAGTGGGAGGAAAGATCTTGTGCTGCAGCCATCAGGAGATGAGTGATTTTGGTGTTTCCCTTCCACGCACACTTCTGATAAGCTCAGGGCCCATCCCAGACATAGAAGGGGTCAGATCTGTGGATTTTGTCCAGCCCACACAACTTTCACTGAAATTAACTTTGAGTGGAGACAACCCATGACCAGGAATAGCAGATCTACTTCTGTATTTCCCAAAAAAAGTGTTCAGCTACAGACTGACACCAACAAATACCTAAACACTATTTTCCAGATAAAAACAGTCTTGTGACAGTTCTCCCACTCTGTTGGCTTTTCCAATAGTCAAGATTTTGTCTCTTCTGAGCAATATTTGCCTGGCTTGAGAGGGAAGGGATTTGAAGCAAGACTTAAGCCATCCCTTGGTTTCCTTCTGGATGGAAGTAAGAGATGAGTCCACTGAAGTTATCCAGTCCACAGTCACCAGTCCAAAAAGAGGAAAATCAGGTTATTGCTCCTGTAATCTACTCAGAGCAAGAACTAGATACTGACATAATTAGAGCACAATGGACCTCCAGACAATTTTTCTTCAGTTTCTAAAGAAATGTTCACCTGCTAAAGGACCTTTCTTCACCAAAGTAACTGTTATCACATTCCTGTCCACTTTTTAACTCTGCAGGATCTCCTAGCTATGTTATATATGAAAGGACCTTCCACTGAAGGGATATTCAGAAAAGCTGCAAATGAGAAAGCACGAAAGGAGTTGAAGGAGGAGCTAAACAAAGGCGAGAATGTTGATTTGAAAAGCAAATCTGTGCACCTGCTGGCAGTGGTCTTGAAGGTGAGCTTCTCTCATCTACCGTGATGGAAGGAAACAATCTGTATGGAGTTCAGAGTTGACCTGGTTTTGACTCCAAGCTAAAGCCAGGGCAAAGCCAGACTAAATGTTTTAGCAGTAAGAAAGATTAGCATTTTATTTTTCCATCTCAATTCTGGTGCAACTTGTGTTGTGATTTCCTGCATGCCCACAGGAAACTCAGTTCATCCTCTTCCTCAGCATCCTCTGCAAGGGGGAGTACTGAGATTCATGGGTGAACTAGAAGCAGCAAAGGGCTTGATCCTGCTACTAAACAAGTGCAAGCGTACTTGTGCATTGCAGTGCTCTGAAAGTGCTGGAAATGCATTGCACTGGGGTGCTCATGGTCAGGTATCTCAAGTCAACCTGCCTCCCAGTGAGTTCAGGTCATGGTGATGCTCCCTCTGTGCTCAGGGGTAGTCTCATCTACCTCTCTTGCTCCTGCAGGACTTCCTCCGAAATATCCCCTCCAAACTACTGTCCACCGACCTCTATGAGAAGTGGATGCAGGCTCTGGGGAAGCCAAGCAAGCAGGACAAAATTGAAGAATTGAAAGAGTAAGTTTTGCAACCAGGAAGTTTTGCAACCAGCCCCAATGTGATGGAGTGGCTGGTAGTGGTGGTTTCTCATGAAATCCAGACTCTCACTTAGAAGCCTCTCATTTATGTCAGGTTGCTATTGTGCCATGGGCTTTGCTTTAGAGGGCTGCAGCAGCAGCACTTCAGAAAGGGCAGATGTGGAGGCTGACTGGGAGTGCTTTGAAAGCTGCACAGCACAACCACAGGCTTTCCATGCCTTCAGGAAGCCTCCAGTGACACCTCCTGATGTCACCTCACCTACTCAAAGACACGGACTGCTGAAAGGCTTGCCTTTCAGGGAAGAACTCATCATTCAAGATATTTTAATTACCCACACACTCCACTGCCATTGGGGATTTCTGAGTGAGGCTTCTGCTGAGCGGCAACCGGCAGCACACACGTGCCTCTCCCTGGAGGAAGTGTCATCTGCCTGAGTTTCATTAAGACTTGCTCAAATCAAGAAGTAGTAGCTGCTGCACCATGAATTAACATCACGTTTTGTTTGTGTTCATGCAGGGTGGCTGACAAACTGCCTAGACCAAACCACGCCTTGCTCAAGCACTTGCTCTCTCTGCTCCAGCACATCAGCCGAAACGCCGAGACCAACAGGATGGACTCCAGCAACCTGGCCATCTGCCTTGGCCCAAACATGCTGAGCCCAGGGACAGACAGCACACTCCCTCTGGAAGTGCAGAAGGAGATGAATGACAAGGTGTGTTGGACTCACGGAGCAGCCACCCGCTTTGGGGCAGCTCAGAGCCACCCACAGGGATCCCACTGCCATTGCAGAAGCTCAACAAAACAGCACCCCTGGACACTGGGGCTGCCCCTCAGCTCAGATGCCCACCATGTGACAGGCAAGGTTGCCCCTTGTCTCCTGATCTCTGAGCAAAAGTAGCAGTTGCCTTGCAGTCCCTTATATTGTAGCACAGCTCCTGGATACTTTGCAGGCAAAGTTTAAGGGGCACCCAGTAGGCATTGCCACGGGCAGGCCTTCTGGGCAGCAAGGCCAAAGCTCTGGCTGATGGTGTTTTCTCTGCTTTGGGACAGATAATTCTTCTGCAGCGTCAGACTTCATCCTCTAGAGTGGACTCATCCTCTGACTTTAAGCTAGAATTTTGGCAGGAGCCACCCTGCTCTGTGCTGCCCTTTATACAAAAACCAGGCAGGGGCAGGAAAGACTGTTCAGTAGGTTTTCAGCACTTTTATCTGAAATAAACTGTTTTCTGTGTGCAGGTGACAGTGTTGGTGGAGTTCCTCATAAACAACTGCTCAGAAATATTTGGGGAGGACATTGCCTTGCCTGTCTGTGCCATGGCTGAGTCACTGGAGCACACAGACAGCTCCACAGGTATGAGAATGTAGTGGGTATGTCACCGACTGGGGCTGCTGGGCTAAGTTCTTTAATTGTATGGGGAAATGTATCTGTGGAAACACAGAAAGTTGTTCCCTTTTATCCTCAGATGGTCAATGAAAACTAACAGGTGCCTTCTCCCCACAGAACACCTATGTGCTGCTCATCAGAATGACTCTGCCTATGACAGCCCGGATCCTGAAGCGGATGCCAGCCCATGCATGTCTCAGGTGGAGCAGCCCAAAGGGAGGAGCACTAGTGTGAGCCGAAGATACCCGGCACACATCTCTGCCTCTTCACTGACTCGTTTCAGAAATGACATCAGCACGATGGACAGGAGGTACTCGGAGCCAGACCTGTCCTTCCAGAACCACCTTGAAGGCAAGATAATGAAACAGAAGCTAAACAGAAGTGAGGACAGTTTTCCAGTTCAGCAGAAACAGCTGGGGTTGGAGGCACTGGAGGAACGGCTTGCAATCCTACCTTCACAGTTATCATCTGACTCTCTGCCCAAAACATCCTCCAGTTGCTCCCTGGAGAGCTCTGATGGCTCAGTCTTCACCAGCTCCCCAGTAATTTCACCTTCTAGTCCCAAGAAAACCTTTTTAGTTAGGCCCCAGTCCTTCTCTACCAAGGCCACCGCAGACTGCAGTGCACCTAACAGAGAGATCAAAAAGCATTCCATGTCGTTCTCTTTTGCAAAAAGCAGGAAAACACTAATAAAAACCCAGAGTTGGGGGCCTGGAAAAAACATATTTTTTCAGAGAGACAGTTTCACAAAGAAAGAAGATGAGTTCTCCTGCAGAGTTGTCCAGGAGAACAGTCCTGGTGATGACATACCATTGCCTGTGGCACATCAGCAAAGGCCTCGTTTCAGGTCAGCTGATGACGTGTTCAGAGAGGTAGACCAGAGGAATCCTGGAAGACCACCCTCTTATGAAGAGGCTACTAAAAACTGCCTGGCCACTACAGTTCCCTCCCACAATCTCACAGTTCAAACCATGAGATTAAAGGTGTCAAGTCAGGACACTTGGCTGCCTCATCCATGCAGCAGTTGTGCACAGGACACAGCATATGCAGCTCTAAGGGACTTACCCAGTGGCAGAGTTTCTGCAGGAAAGGATTCTGATGTGGAAACTGAAACCCTCAGTGTCACTGTGGGAATAAACTCCCGTGTGAGTTTGCCTGTGACCCCAGGAGTCTACCGATTGAGAGCCATGTCTGAATCCTATCAAAAGAACAAACTTGAGTATGTGGCTCAGAGGTGCAGCCAGCCAGTTTTTGAGGTAGACCAGATCCAGTATGCCAAGGAATCCTATGTTTAAAAAGCCTATCCCTCCTCTTTGCACTGTACAAAGTAAATAGTGTAAAAATAGACATCTTGCTAATCCTTTGTAAGATTTAATTGGAAGAGACCAAGAATAAGCTAGTTCTGCATGAATTTTTTTTCTCTTGAAGCTCTCCTGAAGTGTCTGTCAGTTTGACATGTCACACTTGTTCACCACAAGAGGTGGTGGTGGGCAAGACCTGTGTATTATTATGTAAACATGTAAATGAATATGCTGTACATAACCTGTTGTGTGGGAAAACCAGCTCATAGTTTATAAATGGTGTTGTATTTCCGTTCTGAAAGGACAATTAAAGGGTTGGCAGGTCCAAAACCTGTCTCACCTTCCTTTCTTTTCTGTATGGTCACAGACTCCATGCCCTTTGTCATGAGTGCCAGGCTGACAGAATGCTTTGTTGATTTCCTGCATTAAGAAGTGGGCTGACAGTTACTCTAACTGGGGAGTAGCTGTTCTACCATCGAGGCCACTTCAGCACTGTTCCCTAAACCCGCTCTACCTGCTGCCATTCCCTCTTCCTGCTTGCTGGTGATGGGAATGACCTGACCACTAACCAGTATTAGGGTTGTGTACCAAGCTTGGGTTTAGAGCCACTGAAGCCCTTATAGGTTGGTATCAGGTAAACCTCAAGTGGCCTGAGGTGTTTTTAGTCTAAATAAACTGGCTGTGCTAAGCAGAAATAAAGAGTATTCTCAGGTTTGCTTTTATGAGGGGAAAAAATCCAAGCAACAAAAACTCTTGAAAGGAAACATCCTGGATTCCGGATTTAAACAGTTAAAGCTGCAGCTCACTTAAACAAAACAAGAAAACAAACCAAACCAAACCAAAAACCAAACAAACAAAAAAAGGAAAAAAACCCAAAACAAACCCACAACAAACATGTGGTGTCTTTAGAACCTTGTAAAAATACCTGGAAGTGCAATTTGTTTATCCATGTAGGAATTTATTTTGGTTAGCACTTACCTCCCCTTTTATAGCTCAGCATAGCCTTGAACCAGGAGCAGGGAAACTTTTTTCTCCTATGTAACTTCACTACAATAAAACATTTTTCTGCATGAATGCTAAACTGTCCATTATCTGCCTTCAAAGCAACCAGGCACTACATGTAATGTACCCATTTTTATACTATTCCATAGGCACAGCAGGTCTGCTTGAATGACATGGCATATCTAAGTAGTGGGAAGGAAAGTCAATGACTAGCAGTAAGAGCCTGCAGGCTGGATTTTGGGAACAAATACCTCTCTGTCAGGAAAACAAATTGCACTGCCATGTAATGGTGGTTATAAGTGAGGTGGAGAGGGAGCTGTAAAGACACAATGCTGCTCCAAAAGTGGAGCAGATTAGAAAATATCATACAAGTATCTCAGGTATGATGTTATCCAGGTGTTGGTGTTCACAGGACACAGAGACAAGGGAAGGAGAGTACCTGGCCTGACAGGAGAAGTTACGTGAGAAGGACCATACTGGTAGGTTGCACCTAGAGGAAAAGTCACCCCATTCAGCCCTCTAATGCTGTGCTTCCAAGCAAGCTGAATGAGAGGCCTCTGCTGCAGGCTGCAAAAGGCACAGGCAATTTTCTGGAATCTGAGTCACAAAATCACAGAATTGAGATCCTTTTGTCCAACCTCCCTACTCAAGCAGGGTCAGCTAAATTAGCAGGCTGCCCAGGACCACGTCCAGATGGCTTCTGAATATTTCCACAGATGAGGATACTGCAACATCTCTGGGCAACCTGTTCCTGTGTTTGAACACCCTCACACTGAAAAACTGTCTCCTTGCATTCAGGTGCAATTTCATCTGTTTCAGTTTGTGCCCGTTGCCTCTCGTTCTGTGTCGAGTGGAAGTGGTAGCTTTCTTCTGTAAAAAACACAAGCATCTTGCCCTTATGGCACAACAAGTGTGATGAGATAAGCCAAGTGCCATGAAAAAGCTCAGAAGCCACAGAACTGAATACATGAACTTCAAAATGTACTCAACTTCAAAATATACTCAAACAACAACACGACTTCTTATTTGGTAAGTGACTCATTCTTTTTGATTGTGGCAAGATCAAGAATACCAAGAAGAGGAACTGCTTTTTTCCTGTCCTATAACCACACCAGAAAACCCAGGGACATTAAGCAGAGCTAACCTTTGCCAGAGGTAAGAAATGTCTCTCTTTAGATCCAAGCTGTAAAAGGCAGACACAGGAATCACACTCAGAAAGCTTACTTGGGCTTTAAATATTCAGTACAGAGGAGCCTAAATCTTTCAGCTCCTGGATAAGAAAGCCCATTTGGAACTTCTTGTAAGACGTTTCAATAGAGAGAGAAAAAGGGAGAGAAGCTCTACACATTTTACAAACAAGAGGTAAGGTGAAAGAGTTCTGTAAGAGTGGCCCAGTTCTACTCACCTTGCTTTTGTATTTATTCCAGTTCAGAAAACACCACGATTAAACAAATCCTGAATGTAAACTGACCCCTAAAGAGATTTACTCCCTCACTGACAGGTAACTTCTGTCTTCCTCCATCTCTTAAGACGTAACTGTTTAGTCAGCATTATTTTCATGTTGTGTCTCTCCACAGGAGTGATTCATCTTCTGTATAAGCACTCAGGAGGCCTCAAAAGACTAGAACGACCCAGAAAGCAGAGAGACTTGCTTTAGCACTTACTCATCTGCCTTCAGCTCAGAAAACAGTTTTATAATGCTACCAGCCCACCCTACCATGTTCAAAGATCTAGCCCAACTATCCTGGCCTACAAGAGTAAGGCCCTTTAACTGCTAAAATACAAGTGAATTATCTGAGTGCCTTTGTCAAAGCTGCCTTTGACTCCTTATCCAGAAAGATCTGTTTACAGCTGGGACAGCCGAAGACAGATTTTTGTCACAAGAGTTGAATGATGACAGTATGCCTCCCATTCTCCACAGGTTACTCCATCATCACTATTGCATCACTTGCTTCACACATCCAGTTTTCTAATTGAATTTCATGAAGACACTCTAAATATACAAGGCATATAGGACCAGAAGAGGGGAAAAAATCAATATTAAAGCAGAAAATCCAAGCCATTGCCTTGCAAGGCAATGCTAGAATTAAGGCTGATGGTGCAGCCTGAATTCAGTTCCTTGTGTTTGCATCCTGCTGTTGTTTTCAATCACATGATACACTCTGTTCTTCCCCACAGGATGCACCTGCTCTGGGGAGGAACCAAGGTTGTGCAGCAAAAGAGAAAATTTTAATTCTGGCATTCCCCTACATGGTTTGCCTACCAGGGTACCCAGATTTTGGATATAAGTCCATGTCTGATTTTCTAGGATTATTTTCTATTATTTGAAAGAGACAACTAAAGAACAAAGGAGTTCCTCATGAAGCAATACACTCTCTCCTCCCTTCCCTATGCTGTGCACCAGGGAGTTGCAAACTCTTGTTCTCTGCAACTTGGATTAGGACAGAAGCTTACAGCAAAAGCACATTGCCATCAACTCTATGACCAAACAGTGAAGACTGAGGAAGCCAGCACGCCTGCAGGTTTCACAAATATTCAGACTGGCACTCAGATGCAGCCTGCAGACACAGACACTTACATTTAGTTATCTATATGCAAGCATTTATCTGAGCCTGTGTCTCATCTTCTGCACAGTCAGCATTTGAGTATCTCTCTGAACTCCTGGGACTGAGTTGAGTGCAGGTGGCACACAACTGCCTGAAAGTAGCTGTCTCCAGTTATTTGAGTATCTTAGGGCACCTTGAGGAATTTTCTAAGTTATCAAAAGTGGCTGCAAGTCCAGATATTTAGGCAGCTGAATCCTTCCCTCAAGTCTCTGACTGTGAAGTGAGTTTAGACTCCCACTTCACACACAGATGTTATATTTAGATACCTTGAATGTAGAGCTCTATAATCTGCAGCTGACACTGCAGAGAAACAGTAAAACTTGGGACTTTAGGCTCCATCTAAGGCTTTAAATGAAGCATTCTTGATCAGGCATAGGACATCCTGCTTGTCACCCTCCAGAGCTTGGGGCCTTCAGCTCCATCCCTTTACTGACAACACTGACTCAGACCTTCCTCTTCCCCACTCCTGACTCCTCATCTCTGCTTCATTTTCATTGCCTCCCCATTCCCAGCCTGCATTCCTCATCTCATCTATTTATTTATCCTTTAGTTGAACAAAGCCCCATCTATCCCTATGGACTCATTGTCAAATGACCCCAATTTAATTTCTGTCTGCTCCGTCCCTAGACTCACTTCTCTCAGCCAGTTAGCTTCAGTTTTCCTCTTCCAATTCTTCCACATTTTTCACTCACATCTGCACTGGCTGTTATTGTAATTAGCCCCACCAGCACACATTTAATGTCTGAGTCCCACACATGCACCCCACTTGTTTTAGTCTCTGCATATGCAGTGAATGAGAATAAGATAAGGAAACATCTCTGCAAGCTAGTCCAGTCAATTCGCAGCTGTAACTATGGAAAGCCTCTAGGATGAAAATTTCACAGACAGAGGTCTTTGGCTTCTTTGGAAGGAGATTTGGAGATAACCTAAGGTAAAATAACAAGTCAAAATAAGACATTTTTCCTCACACCTCACCAAAAAGTTCACAAGCTATGGTGTTAGGGATATTTCTCATAATTTGCTCACATTCTCTGAGAAAAGGTACTGTCAGTACATTGGATTTTTTCTGCCTCTACAAGCAAGGTCTTGTGGAAGAAACTTTCTAATCTGTCTGACCTCCTCTCGAAGCTGTTATCTGAAGGGCATCTCTTTCTGGGAACTCTAAATAATAAAGAGATCATGAATCCTTCACACTTAAAGCAAAACAACTGTTGGCTACTTAAGAATTATACTTAAGAGAATGATTACTAAGATGCTCACTTTTATAAGATCTGTTGCAACACAGCCTAATAAAGCTCTTCACTAGACATGGTCACATAACAGAACCACTTCTCTACATGAGATCTTTCTTCTGTATTTTCCTCCCATGATTGCTACCTGCACACC